GCACCTCCCTTTGTGCTCCTCGCCTCTCCTCCTCCCCCTCCCCCTCCTCCTCCTCCTCCTCCCCCTCCTCCTCCTCCCTCCTCCCTCCTCCGTCCTTCCTCCTCCCTCCTCCCTGCTCCGTCCTTCCTCTCTGCTCCTCGCACCTTCCTCTGCTTCTCGGTCCGTCGCATACCCTCCCCACGTCTGCCGTGCTTACTCACGGCGCACGCTGACCAGTCTCGATGTTACTTTGATGCGACGCGCTACGTGCTCGAACGAAGTCGTACAAGCTTTTCAAATGAACGCAACGAAACTTTCAGACGAACGCATGGGAACATCTGAATCCCAGTTCTGCCAGCCTTTTCGGCCACGCACGCCGATTCAACACGGACTCGTCTGACCCACGAGATGCGTCCCAACCTAGAGTATGCGTATCCAGCAGAGCACTGCGCTGGTGCGCGCGACAACTGCAACAGAGAGGACGAGGTGGAGGAGGATGCCGAAGAGGCCGAGGAAGCCGAGGAGGAGGAGGCGGAGGAGGAGGAGGAGGAAAAGGAGGAGGAGGAGGAGAAGGAGGAGGAGGAGGAGGAGGAGGAGGAGGAGGAAGGCAGGTGGTTGGCAGGGCATCCTGCTCACCCGAAGGGCTGCGCCCTCCGTCGCCGCCCCCCCCAGGGGGAGCCGCCCTAGCACTCTTTCGGTGCCACCCGGGGGGCTTTCTCGGGCCATCCAGCGCACCAATCAGCACACCAATCAGCACACCAATCAGCATTTGGACAGCACACCATCTTGGGTCAAGCCATATGTGGACAGCACACCAATCAGCACACCATCCAGCACACCAATCAGCACACCAATCAGCACACCAATCAGCATCTGGACAGCACACCAATCAGCACACCAATCAGCACACCAATCAGCACACCATCTTGGTTGAAGCCATATTTAGACAGCACACCAGTCAGCCGACACGCGGAAGGCACGGAACAGGTTCCCGCCGCTTCGCGGGGGACTTGGCCAGACAAGCGTTCCGTCCCGTCCGCCGCCAGGCGTTCCGGGAGGTCTCTCGGGGCCGTTTTGGGATCTTGCGGGCCGGACATTGTGGGCCTTTTGGTTGGTCTTGGGTCTTGGGGTCTCTCTTGGGACGTCTTGGGCTATCTTGAGCCCCTCGTCTTGGGGCGTTTTGTTGTCCGTCTTGAGCCTGTGTTGGTCCGTCTTGGGCCCGTCTTCGGCCTCCGCCCCAACGGATTTTCTCATGCTCAGCCCCGCCCCATCTGTCCTCGACCCCTAGTGCCGGCCCTCCGACGCCGCCCACCTCCTGGGTTCGGCCCTTTCCCCGATCGTCCCCGACCAGCACAGCGCAAACACGGTGGATCAGGGTGGGCAAGGCAGGCGGTGCTGCGACGACACATCGCAGCTCATACGCCATGCCATCGGGCAGGACGCCACACAGTGGTTGGATGATGGTCGCGATCGGATGCTACGGGACAGCTGGAAGCACGCCTTCCTCCAGCACGTGCAGTGCAGGGGCCCAGGTCTACCCGCGCGGCGCCTCAGGGGCCCACTGGCCGGCCAGCCGGCGGACTCGGGGCGCTCCGCTCCGCTCTGGCCCGGGTGCCTATTCTGAGCTTCTTAACAAGCGTGGGGGGGGTACCCCCCCGACGGGGGTCAACCTCGCCTCGTCGTCGCGACCTGACTGGGGTCGGAGCGCCGTCGGCGGGTGAAGGCTGCCCGCGACAAGGGTCGATGTGGGGCTGTCGGCGGGGGTGACGCCCCCCCGACGCTTATTAAGAAACTCGGAGTGCCCCTCAGCCGCCGCCGAGCTCTCTGGTCGAGCCCCGCCCATGGCTGCCCCCGGCCCTGCTGCTTGCCACCGCCGCTGCCGACCTCCTCGGCCCAGTCCCGTCCCCGACTGGGAGCCCGTGCAGTCTGAGAGCGCCCCAGGAGTGCCTGGGAGGGGCCTGGGATCGTCCGGGGGCCCCTGGGGAGCGCCGGGGGGAGGAGGAGGATGAGGAGGAGGAGGAGGAGGAGGAGGAGGAGGAGGAGGGGGACCAGTGTAAACCCAAGCCTCGTTAACGATGTTGCAATAAGGTCTCCCTCCAAGTTACCTCTTTACAGGTCCCTACAAAGGTCCTTCAACACTGAAGTGCCCCGTTGGAACGCAACCGTCTGAAAGCCCTGATCCGTGCGAGGACACCGCTCCTGGGACTTCAACGCCGCGAACCAAAGTAACTGGTGTGTCCTGACGATCTTGAATCGTGCCAGAACATAATTCCGGGGACTTCAGTATTTGAATCAACAACTGTTGCGCCCTGACAGTCTTACATCGTACCAAAACTCCATCTGGGACGCCAGCCATACGAATCCATGAAACTGATGTACACTCAGAAGACCAATGTGCGCGGCGCTAATGCGAGAGCTGCAATTTGAAAAGGTACCGCCCTCCATCCGTTTTGTTGTTGCAAAGTTTTAGGACGAATGCGCGCGGCGCCAAAGCGATAGTCACATTTAAAAGCCACCCGCC